TGAATCAGGGCCAGGCACACCGTTGACATTCAATAAATAATAACAATAAAATAAAGTGCAGGAGTCATTTAAAATGCAAAGGAAGAGAGATTTATAGCAGTTCTCTAATCTCCTAGCTCAGCAAATTATACTTGCTTTGTGGTGCATGAGAAGTGGGCTAAATTCTGCAGTCCCATTTAATCCTTACTTGGGCAATGGAGTTCAGAGACTGACAATGAGAAATATTTTGAGACAGGGAAATATTCTGACATGAATAGGAATTGGTTCTACACTTTTTAGAGTATGAATAAATTAAATATTACTTAGAAAGTAGATAAAGATCTTCTATTTGCCCTTTCACATAATACACAATAAAGAGCCAATAAAATGTGGACATAGCAAATTTAAAACTGATAAAAGGAGAGCATATTTTACATAGTCTTCCATTAACCCATTTAACGTATTGTAGCAAGATAGTAATGGGCCAAGAGCTTAGAAAAATTCACAAAATGTTTTAGATATTTATAGGGGGTCCAAGAATATCCTAAGTCCCTCTACATTTGTTTTGTATTATTTTGAAAGAGATAGTTACCATCATGCTTCGGAGCATAATCCAACTTCTAATTACTGAAGGCCAGGAGGAAACTTTCCCTGCAGGCAGGTTTCCCCATAACTATCTACTGCAAAGTTTCTTACATCTTCCTTTGAGTAATTGGTACTTCTGTTCTATTCTATATAGGTTTTTATACCATGCTCATAACCATAGTTTGAGTGCCTTCCATTAGTACATTAAGCAACGTGACAACCTCTGGGATGTGTTATTTATTCTCTCCTCCTCACCTCAGAAGGAGAAATGGGCATAGTGGAGTATCTTGTATTGGTAGTGCATTATTATTATCTTTATTTATTTATTTATTTATTTATAAATATTTCTGTTGATAAGTGTTTATATTAGGCAAGAGAAGTCCAAAGAAATGTGCCTTATGCTTTGCCATTTTCAGTGCCAGAACTACATAGACCACTGGTATGACCCATAATAGCAATTTCTGGACTCCTCTTGGCTTCCCTATCGTTCAGTTATTGTTAGTCTTCAATGGGAGTATTATCTGAAAGAGAACTGAAGAATTAGGTCATTGCTTCCTTAGACCTGATCATCCTACTCTAGTGTTTTCTGCCTAGTATCATGATGTAAGACACACATCAATTCTCCATGCTATATTAGAATATTTCTTTTCAGCCTTCAAGCAAACTCTTCTCTCACAGTACCCTCCTGATAACAGTCAATGGGAATTCTGTAAATGGAGTGAGTGCAGAAGTGATCTGCACAATGGATTGCTTTTGAAATTTCCTACTATTGATAGGGCTCTTATGGTGCATATCATTGTATATAAAACACATGCATCTCTGGATGCAACTCATCCTTGAACAGAAAACAAGCAGAAAAATTATATTCCATTTAAGACTTTAAAATATAATCTAAGTGGTAAATGGCCTTTGTACTGACTCTCTACACAGGAGCAAATCTTTCCTTCTACCTCTTCTGCTGCATAGAGTCATCATGATGTTCTATACTTCAGGTGCTTGCATAAAAAAGAAAAAATCTTCTTGTACACAAGGGGTTAAGTTGAATTTGGCTTGGCTGCCCTCCATATGTTTGTACTAAAAATGCAAAATAATTTTTGTACAGAACTTGTTAATGGTGATTGAGAAAAAATGAATCTGACAGTGGTTTTGTTTGTTGCTTTCAGATTTTAAAAAAAATCCTTTGCATTTTGCAACTGGGAAGAAAAAAAAAACCCTTTACAGTATTTCCAAGTAAGGCAATATTGGGGCAAAATCATGCCCCACCTTCTCTGCCTTCCTTGGGCACAGTATATCCAATATCCTACAGAACCTCCATGGTTCCAGTGCATGGCAGCATGCAGACTCCACAGAGGCCATGCAGAGACTCACAGCCTTTATGTGTTCTCAGAAACTTTGCTTCCCTTTAAGTAGTAGGCTAGGGAGAGATCTGTCTAGGGAGTTCATAGCAATACAAACACACTGGCAAAAATTAGTGCTGTATAAGCAATCATGGATCAGATCCCTTGTTTCAGGTCTTTGAAGCAACACTGGATCATATCAAGATTATTTTCATGGGTGTCATTGGATCTTGAAAACATTAAAATAACTGGGATCTCCAGGAAGTCTTTCCAAGATCCAGTATCCTGATTGTAACAATTATTGTGGGATCTGGAGAACAGAAAATTATCCTGTCTTCTTTATCTGGGCTATAAGTGTTCCAGCTAGGTTCCTCACTATGACATTGCCAATCAGGATGAGTTATCTCCTCTTTTCTTCTGGTGGCTGCTTTTCAATATTCAGTTCATATTCAGGAGTTGAACCTCTAGCCTTCCTGGGTTGCTTTTAGTTTTTTTCCTCCTTCTGTCTTGTCAGGAGAAGAGTATCTGGTTTCCGTATCAAGGTTAAATATGTCTGTCTTTCTGTCCTGCTCTTCTTATCCCCTCTCTTTCAGGATGTCACATCCTTCCTAGTTTTATTATCTTCTCTCTCTTCTGTGTAATTCTTTCTTTCTTTCTTTCTTTCTTTCTTTCTTTCTTTCTTTCTTTCTTTCTCTTCTAAGGGACCTGTGGAATGGGATGTATCTGTGTGATCCAATTCGACTTCCTTTTATATCTTTCAGTGATTTCAACTGCAGTTCAAGCCCCTCTATTTTTTCTTCCATTGTAGGAACCAACTTGCATTTCAGATGAACGTGTCCTGAGTTGTCTTCATTCATAATCGGGAGCACTGCACATACAGCACAATGGGTTAGCTCGGAGCCTTTGATAGCTGTTCTTTATAGCACTGTTGTGTCTTCCTTCAGGATGGTGCCTCACTTTTTGGAAGTTTTAAATAATAAAAGATTTTGCTACACTGAGCACATCCCACCTGCAATCTCCTGCTCACTGCTACACTAACTTTTTGGCTGATCTATATTAATTCCATCCTTTTCCTCTCACTGTGGCATGGTCTCTCTCCCCAGCACTTACTGTGTCTGCCACATTAAATACTGCTCCCTTTTTGCTTGCACTCAGATTGTTGCTGTCTTGTGTTGCTGGCTTTGGATTAGCTTTTTGCTACTTGGCTTTCCATCAGGTTAAAAAATTAGCACTATGGTGATATTAGCTATCATGTCATGTTGACCATCAGGTTAACTCTCTGGCATCAATCCAACCAGATTTGCTTTAAAGACTTTTGCTAAACATCAGCAATGCCGATCATAGCATCTGTCGATGGAATATCACAACCAACTATGTAAGGAGAGGGGGCCCAATTTTCAGTATTAATATCTGTAGAGGTTTTTCAACCCTCAAATTCAGACATTTAAATAGGTACAGTAATTCCTCACTTAACGTTTCCTAGTTAACCTTTTTTCATTGTTATGATGCTTATCTATTAGAGCACATGTGCAATGCTCCTTATAATGTTGTCTGGCTGCCTACATTGCCCACTGCGTGCAGGATTTTCTGGAAAAGTAGCCTGTTATTGTGGGGGTTCAGAACCAGGCTGGGCTGGCAGATCTCCTGAGTTCCCTGTAAGGCAGTGGTGGGCAACCTGCTGCCCACAGCTGTATACAGCCCATCGGGGATCTCTGTAGGGCCCATGAGACATTTTGTTGCCAGATTCCTCTAGTTTATGTCTGTGTTGTTTCTTTTTTCCTACTGGTGTTACTAAAGTGACACACACATAAAGCAAGAACACATGACAGGGGGAGGGAGAGAAGGGTTCTGATGTCAGGATGTCCCCCTCTATCTCCCTGCATTAAGCCCTCCCCACTTCTTACCCCATTTCTACAGGGATGTGTCTACAGCCACTGCCATACATCTAGTGCTTCCCTCCTCCTGTCTCAAGCCATGGTGCCTCTAGAGTGTGAGGCCATATTAACAACATGTTAACCCCTCAGAGCTCAGCCAAGTGCTAGTTCTTCAGTTAGGAACAAGAAATTCCATGGAAACTGTTCCACTTTCTGACTCCACCACCTCAAACAAGCTTCACAATCATCATTGTTGTGTACAGTACTACATTGTTTTAAAAGGATTAAAACTTATACTCTCTGTCTGTCTGTCTCTCTCTATATATGTATATAAGCCTTTTGACTGCTGAATATCATTCCCTGGAGCCTACCCCTCTCCCATTTACATTATTTCTTATGGAGAAATTGGATTTGCTTAATACCATTTTGCTTAAAGTAGCATTTTTCACGGACGTAACTGCAGCATCAAGTGAGGAGTTACTGTGCCTGAACCCAGGCAGCTAGAACTCAAGCAATGAGGGTGAAATTCACCACCGTGCAAAGAAGCAGCATAAGAACTTTTCATTAAATCCAACTGTAATTCAGTCTGGAGGACATAAGTGATGAACAGACTGATCTCCTACATCAGGATCAATGAGACTCTTGAGTACCAATTGCTATCCCAATGTGAGCTATGGACAGTCTGTAACACATAGTATTGAACTGTGCTCATACTGATCCAAACAGTGGTCAGTGTTCTTGCTTCACAAACTGAGAGAGCGAGTTAGGTGCTGTACGGGTGCAGCTCTCAGTGGTTTGGTGAAGGATATTAAGCTGGGAATGAGAACTCAGGCCTTGTGCTTTGTGATCCTGGAGCAACTAGTTAACTTCTCTTTACTCCTTAATTTCAAATTCTCTCTGTCTTAGTCTTCCATTTGGTTTGTGCATCTGATTTATCTGATACAAGTGAAACACTAGAGCGAAAAGGCTGGTTTGGTTTTAACTCTGCAGAATGACTCCGCTTCTGCTAGAGCAAGGAAAGTGCTTGAGCTCACTTCCTGTGCACCCCTGCTTGTGTTGTGCACAGGCCTGGAAACCCTGAGGTGGGGGGCTGGCGCAATATTCACCATTGTAATAGCAACCTTCCCCAGTACGGCCCTCTGCACAGCAGCTGTAGCACAGGGTGGCAGCCGAGCACACAAATCACTTCTTTCTGTTTGCTCCTGTTGTTGTCATGATTTGTTAGGTACAAAGGCAGGAGGCTGGCTCAGCACAAGTCGGAAATAGAGTGTTTCACCCCAAAAGGGAGTATGGGAAATGGTGGGAGAGCTACAATGAGCAGGTAAGCAAACAGTGGAGTGGCCTGGGGGCAGTGTGATATGTCTGTGAGCACTGAGGAGCACCTCTGGGACAGGTCTGGCCCAGATCCTCTATCTGTAATGACTGTGCATCCCATATAGTATGTCCAAACAAAAAAGACTTGGCTGCCACTGGCTTACATGTTATGTTTGAGCAGCAAAAATATACCATGCTCATTTAAGTGATCGGAACCACTTCTCATTCATGATGTTGTCGTAATAGGGGGCTTGTGGGAAGAGAATCTTTGCACCCTTTGGCCAATCCACTAGAAGAAAACAATAAGCAAGAGTAATACAGTCTCTAGATTTCAAGTAAGCAGATTCTGAGCTTTATCTAAATGTGGGTTAGATTTTATATAAAGAGCTAATTGGAGAAAAAATTGACAAAATTACATCAGGATAGAAATGTTTCATGGGAATGTGTAAATATAAAAATAAATTGACAGGAAAGCTTCACAGTTCTCCAGAATCAAAACGGAACATTTTGTTTTGATTTAGTGGTTTAGTTTAATTTCAGTGTTCTTGTTTTGTTTAATTCCATTTCATTTCACTTAGATTTTCTCATTTCATTACATTTCCTTTTGATTTTTATATAAAATTTTACTCTTATATATTTATAATATGATTAATATTATATCAATATTCAGTGTGGGTAATATTTTATATGATATTATATTTTGACTTTGGTGAACTGAACATTTCAATGATTTCCCCCCTAAGTTTCCCAAGTAAAATATTTTGGAGTATTTCATTGCACAAAATATTTTAAGATTTATAATTCCATCTCAGGTTGAGACAAAAAGAAATACTAAAATGTTGGTATTTCCCATGGGATGGAAATTCCATTTTCTGACCAGCTCTGTTAACATATAATTAACATATAGTAAGTGTGTTACAGGTGAGTAGCATGTGTCATACATGATTTTTAACACATTGATAGAAGGTAGCATAGATTATTATAAACCATAATATGGAGTTTATCACCTGTCGGATTCTATTGCAGTCTATAACAATTTGATTTACCACTTCTTAAAAGATGTATTTAATCCTTTATAAACTGATTAGAAATATAACCTGAACATCCAAAGGGATGACCAAAATGTGCCTTTGCCTTTACTGATTTTTGTATCACAGAGCCATCCTGTAATTGCAGGAGGGCATCCCAAGATGCCCACAGCATGATGTTCCCCTTGTGCTTAACAACACTCACTCAAGCACACAAGGCATGTGATTATAACAATGCATACTCTGGGGATCCTGGCTGTTTAAATAATGTAAGCGCCATTCATTCACTTGTGGTGGTTCGAAATTTATCAGCACCTGCTGTTTGTTTGTCAACCTGTCTGTGTTCTGCATGCTGTTCTTGGGGGGTATTTTTAACTTGCATTGTCTGCAATTAGATTTGTTTTTTTCCACTAAAAGCAATTTAGAGTCACTGAATAATTGAGAACTGAAGAGGAAACAAGTGCATGCAAATGTCAAACAATTGTACTTCATTATGCAGGGTTTAGTTCCTCTTTGTACACATATTTTCCACATATAAAAACTACATGTATGAAACTCTGTCTCCCTATATCTTATATCTTCACAGTGAAGAATCTATGTGCATTCCAGAGTTTAATCCATCTGAGCCAAGTAGAGATGAGAAAGAGGTTCCTGTGAAAGATGAAGCCCTAATAGTCAGAAAGACTGGAAGCTTTATCACTGTAATACTTCTATAGCATGATTGTCATTCCTAAGACCTACTCAAACAGTTAAGAATATTTGTTGTTTAATAGATAGCAGATTTTGTATTCTATAGCTGTGTTGTATTGTCTCTAGCCATACTAGCCCAGGCTGGGGACCCATCAGCTCCCAGACGCTAACTAGAGCTAGAACTGAGTAGGATGGGAGACGTCCACACAAAACAGAGGTGCTGGAGAAAGCAGTGTAATTGGTGCTTTTCCTTTTCAGTAAATATCAAATCCGTATTTAGGGGCACGGTGATACCTGAAGTCTTGAGGAAACAAACAGAAGCCAGGATTTGGTTATTTATGGATGATCAAAATATGTCATCAGATTTTTTTCACAACAGTAGGGGATGCAAATTCTGTTTAAAATACTCCATGTAGTTTCAATTACACAGTATTATTCACTTCTAAAAACTCTTGTGCAGTATTGCTATAGTATCCCAAACTTGATATTAGCTGTTATTATTTTTGTTTTACTGGATGACAGTTACTCTACATGTAAGGGGAGTTAATCTGTGCTGAATCACATACAAGCATCTTCCACCTCTCTCATATAAATCAATTATGAAATGGGATGTTTTATGAAGCATTGAAAAGTAGGCATCATGGTAGCATTGCTATGATTTAGAATTTAAATTACCGTCTTAATTAAATGCAACAAATAAGAAGCTGATTAATAATTCACAAGTGATTTTTTTCCAATGATGACATAAATCCCATGTGAATAAATATCTCTGCAATAATATATCAGTCAAGCTGTACACCCTAAATTACCTCTATGCTGGATAAAAAATTCAAGATGAATCTAGAAACCAAAATGAAAATCTAGCCAGAGCTAAATCTTTCTCCTAGTCCTGCATCATGTGGGTAGGGGTGAGAGTATCCTATTTATAATTCTCATGTAAGAGAGATGAAATGGACTTTCTCCACTTTTACTCCAGCTGAAATTGTAAGTGATGTAATGTAAAGCCCATGAAAATCAAAGAAGAGACTGCCACCAATTTCCATGGGCTTTGGATCAGGCCCCAGCTAAGCAGGGATGAAGAACTGTAAAGAATACTTAACTACTGTAAGAAGGGGAGTTGATGGTTTGATAGGTGGAACTCTTACACTTCCATCTCCAAATCCTAATGACGCCATGCTCCAAAATGGAGATAAATGAGCCTTGCGCGGCTGGAAGTGCCATATTTCAGACAAAGAATAAAGCACAAGTCCTGACCACTTGTGCTAATGAGCACGCTCAGGGTGGTCTCTGTAAGAGAAGAAAAATGTTAACTTTGGGCAATTGTTTTAGGCCTACTAGAAATCCCCTAGTAGTTTCAGTTAGATAGAGTATACTTCACTTCCTGTCCTAATCAGCTATGTATTGTTAAAACAGCTACTGTGATTTGTCTAAGTGGGTTGTATAGCTATTTATAATTTGCTTTGGTTTCTTTTGGGATGAAAATTGCTCTGACCATGTCGTATGAGATATTCAAAGTTATTTGGATGCCCAGTTTCCATTAAAATGACCAGGAACTGGGTATCCAAATTCCCCAGGCAGATATAAAAATCTCAGCCATTGTTTTTTATAGGAGGGACCCTAGAAGCATGCAAAAGATTGTACAAGCTTGCCACAGACACAATAAATCTATGGCTGATACATTAATCGCTGCAGCATTGAACTCTGGCATAGTGGAGACAAGCCCTGAGAATTCACAGTTCTGCTACTTCCTAAGGACAGTATATGCCTTCTTACTAGTTACACCTCAGGATCACCACTATGCTCACCTCCATGCATCTAAGAGCTATTACAGTAAATACAAAAAGACACTTAACAAGGACAAAGATTTGAGAAGAAGCAAGTAGAAATAATGGGAAAAAATAGTTACATATAAAATAAAATCATAATGTGCTTTCTGTAGCCTAAACTTAATTAACCAAATATTTTTCCTGGACTAATGAAATTTTGCTCATCCAAAGTTTTTACCGTGTTTTTCAACCAGGTAGGCAGTGATCCTTTTGTCATAAGACATTACACTTTACAGTTCCTTGCCTCAGTGAATGCTAACTGGATGACTCTTTGCAGTCTTAGACATAGTTCCATTGATCCACTGTCTTGTAAACAGGGCTTCCTCCTGATGGTTCATTTCTTCCTGTAACTTTCCTCTCTGGAAAAAACCTCACAATCCTTTCTTTAATATTGCACTCAAACTGTAAATCAACACCCATTGTGAACCATATAATACTCAATTTACATGTAACCAGTCATAGGCTTTGCGAATGTAATTTTCATATAGATACATAACTCCTAGCAGGTTATCTGTATGTATGTGTTGCAGTGATATCAGACCCAAAGTATTTTTGCCATGCTATCTCTTCCCAGATGTCCCGGGATCACAGGGAGTGTCTTGAAGAACAATATTAACAATATTTTTTGTTGAGCATTAGAAGAAAACAACTCTTTTTTACTCTTTTCCACTGTCACATGACAGATCTGTGATGAAAGTGAAATAGGTCACAGCTCCCTCAAGAACACAGGCTAGGACAAAATGGATGCTTGCTCTGTGTGATTCAGTGTTTATTTCCTCTCTGATTTGTTTTGTTAGCTTTTATCTCTACAAAGCACATAGCAGAGGAGTCTTTTAAGCTTGATGGATATGTCACCAGTGAGCTGCTTATGCACAGTGGAATTACAGTGTCAATGGGGAAAATAAGGATGTGACTATTTATTCACTTTATTTGTTGTGCTTAGTAAAGCTGGTCATTAAAACCCCAACCAACTTAGAGGAGATGTGTTTCTACACTTGCTACCACTGCTCTCTTGCTTATTGTTCAAAGGCTGCTGGAGTGGTCAATCTGTGTGAGACAGGAGACCTGCCTACCAGTATCTTGCCAGAAGTCTCCACCTGTGCCGAGGTGGGTAGGTAGCTCAGGGGCTCCATTCAGGCCTCTCCACTACTTCAGCAAGGAAACACTTTGGTTTTTTTCCATCCTATTTCCCCTCT